TTACAGACAGTTCCCTTTCCCATTTATCCAAGGTAACTCGGTACCATACAGACAGTTCCCTTTCCCATTTATCCAAGGTACCCTGGTACCATACAGACAGTTCCCTTTCCCATTTATCCAAGGTACCCTGGTACCATACAGACAGTTCCCTTTCCCATTTATCCAAGGTACCCTGGTACCTTACAGACAGTTCCCTTTCCCATTTATCCAAGGTAACTCGGTACCATACAGACAGTTCCCTTTCCCATTTATCCAAGGTACCCTGGTACCATACAGACAGCTTCCTTTCCCATTTATCCAAGGTAACTCGGAACCATACAGACAGTTCCTTTTACCATTTATCAAAGGTACTCTGGTATCACTTTTTCAAATATTATAACACTTACTTGTATAACAAGGTAGTAAGCCATATTATGAATATTCCAAAAATAACCGAAACCAAATAAGGCTGTAAATAATCCACTCATTAACATACCAATCGTCAAAAAATGCCGAAGGTTCATTCGCTCACCAATATGTCCACTGAAATGTAGAAAAACACTTGCATTTTAAAACGATTGTTGCAACACATCCTGATATGTGATTGGTCGACTGACGGTCACATAACTATACATAATGTTACACTGTTACATGAAAATAAAAAGCCGCTCAAGAGTAGCTTCATAACTTTTTCCAAAATTAAGTTTATTTGGGAAATAGTTTAAAAAAATGTATATTGCTATAATTTCATAAGAGACAAATGTTCATGAATTTTCTAAGGCAATGAAAATTGTTGCATTGAAAATTTTTTTTTCACTAATTCCATCAAATTTTGATATCACGTAAATATCTATCAGGGATTTTTTTTAAAAAAAGAAAAGGGGCACAGCGCCCTCATGCCATGGTTATGCGCCCCTTTACCCATGGGAGCAGATACTCTGGCAACCATAAAATTCTGATTGACCACGGATAACAATGGCCACAATATTTAACTGTGATCTGTCTGATAGTCATTTTGGCCCCAAGGAAGCCATAGAATGCTCCATTTTAGCTTAGAATTATCAAAAACTCCATACCCTGATAGGAAAAACCCTATCTCCCCGACTTGGTGGCGCCGCTGAATTGCAGTGCTCCCTCTTGCAGTTTTTTTCTAGAAAACCCCTGTCTACCATTCTGTACAGTATGTACAATGTTGATTTAACTGCTATGCGACAAACAGATCAACCAGATTAACCAACAAATGGTCTATTGACTAGATGGCTACTAATATATTTCAGTACGTGTATATCATACCGGGTTATGCTATTGTGGTTAGCCAGAAGCGCCCTCTAGGGCCATAAAAACATCTATTTCTGCCTACCGTAAAATATTTTATTTGTGCTTGGAATTAATTTTCGCTATTTTAGTTGAAGGAATAATTCAGTGAAAATAAAATCCAGTGAATATACCTTTTTACCTATATTTTACATTCAACTTGTCAAAAATTAGTGAAAATAAATTCCATACAAAACACCCAAAAAGTCTTTACAGCTAAAATTAATTCCAGCTAAAATAAAGTATTTCACAGTATGTGAAACCCAAATATTTGACTATGCTTAAAGGGGCACCTTCCAGTTAAGTCTAATCTCACAACAAATTTACTTTCTGGATTAAAATAACAATGGATCACAAAAGATAGATTAACATTGTAAACAACATAAACAATAGTGTCCCATGATTCTTTGGTGCAATCCATGGGATTGAGCGGCTCCCCTTTAAACAACCTCACACTATGAGCGTCTACCGCATGCGCAGATGTTGACTCAATGTGACATAATCTTATAAGTAGCTTTGCACTGACTCAAAAAAGCAGTCAGTCATCTTTGTGTATGGTTAGTTAAAATCCACAGCAAAATTATTTAGAAAAAAACAACTTTCAGATTTCTGAAGAACAAAACATTTGATTGTGGAAATGGGAATTGCAAGCAAAACATAAATTAAGAGAATATTTGCACTGGATTTAATTTCGACTGGTTCAATTGTAGAGCTAAAATTGTAGGTTATTGCCACAGTGCCGACAACATCAAATGTTAGGAGACTTACCTAAAAAACATAGCTATTGCATACGAAAATAAGTAGGCATAGTCAAGACTACCAAGTAACTCCTGTGCATTATCTTTATCTGAAGGATACAGAGACAGTAATATTAACTTTCTAATATTATCATGGATTGCTATCAAAATTGTGTTTACACATTCTTTTATGATATTATCTCATAGGCCTATGTCAATCTGTCACCCCCATATGACATTATGTATCCATAGTGTGACATTTAAATAATAACACATGCTTGTGAGGGAAATATCACGATTTATTGCCTGCCCAAGGGATGGTGGTCATGACCGTAATATTGATGATGTCAGAGCCGAAGGCGAGCGCATCATCATTATTATGTTCATGACCAACAGTATGTTGTCATATGGCATTATAGTGTCTCACTGTTGCATATTAGTGTCCTCACGTGGTATTATAATGCTCTCATGTGGCATTATGGTGTCCACATATAGCATTATAGTGTTCTCATGTGGCATTATGGTGTCCACATATAGCATTATAGTGTTCTCATGTGGCATTATGGTGTCCACATATGGCATTATAGTGTTCTCATGTGGCATTATGGTGTCCACATATGGCATTATAGTGTTCTCATGTGGCATTATGGTGTCCACATATGGCATTATAGTGTTCTCATGTGGCATTATGGTGTCCACATATAGCATTATAGTGTTCTCATGCGGCATTATGGTGTCCGCATATGGCATTATAGTGTTCTCATGTGGCATTATGGTGTTCTCATGTGGCATTATGGTGTCCACATATGGCATTATAGTGTTCTCATGTGGCATTATGGTGTCCACATATAGCATTATAGTGTTCTCATGTGGCATTATGGTGTCCACATATGGCATTATAGTGTTCTCATGTGGCATTATAGTGTTCTCATGTGGCATTATGGTGTCCACATATAGCATTATAGTGTTCTCATGCGGCATTATGGTGTCCACATATAG